CATCCACAACACAATCACACAGCTGTACCAGTTCATCCACAACACAATCACACAGCTGTACCAGTTCATCCACAACACAATCACACAGCTGTACCAGTTCATCCACAACACAATCACACAGCTGTAGCAGTTCATCCACAACACAATCACACAGCTCCACTAGTTCATCTACAACACAATCACACAGCTCCACTAGTTCATCCACAACACAATCACACAGCTCCACTAGTTCATCCACAACACAATCACACAGCTGTACCAGTTCATCCACAACACAATCACACAGCTCCACTAGTTCATCTACAACACAATCACACAGCTCCACTAGTTCATCCACAACACAATCACACAGCTCCACTAGTTCATCCACAACACAATCACACAGCTGTAGCAGTTCAGCCACAACCCAATCACACAGCTGTAGCAGTTCATCCACAACACAATCACACAGCTCCACTAGTTCATCCACAACACAATCACATAGCTGTAGCAGTTCATCCACAACACAATCACACAGCTGTAGCAGTTCATCCACAACACAATCACATAGCTCCACCAGTTCATCCACAACACAATCACACAGCTCCATCAGTTCATCCACAACACAATCACACAGCTGTACCAGTTCATCCACAACAATTATACAGATAACTTTCTTACCTTTATAAGTCTTTCTTTCTTTTCCAGTTCTTCTGTGAGAAATTTCTCTGTAATACTGGAATATGCTGTGGAGAAGAGAATTTCAGGTTCCACAGTAACATACAAGTAATCATCAGGCAGATGATCTTCAGTACCTATCAAATATTCCACTAAATTATTAATGGTAATGTAGCCCCTAATATAAATCATAGCTACAGATAAACAACTAGTGATAATCTAGACCCCAATATAAATCATAGCTACAGTAAACAACTAGTGGTAATCTAGACCCTAATATAAATCATAGCTACAGATAAACAACTAGTGGTAATCTAGACCCCTAATATAAATCATAGCTACAGATAAACAACTAGTGGTAATGTAGACCCTAATATAAATCATAGCTACAGATAAACAACTAGTGGTAATGTAGACCCTAATATAAATCATAGTTACAGATAAATAACTAGTGGTAATCTAGACCCTAATATAAATCATAGCTACAGATAAACAACTAGTGGTAATGTAGACCCTAATATAAATCATAGATACAGATAAACAACTAGTGGTAATCTAGACCCTAATATAAATCATAGCTACAGTAAACAACTAGTGGTAATCTAGACCCTAATATAAATCATAGCTACAGATAAACAACTAGTGGTAATGTAGACCCTAAAACAAATCATAGCTACAGATGAACAATTAGTGGTAGTCTAGTCCCTAACACACATCATAGCTACATATAAACAACTGGTGGTAGTCTAGTCCCTAAAACAAATCAGAGCTACAGATGAACAATTAGTGGTAGTCTAGTCCCTAAAACACATCATAGCTACAGATAAACAACTAGTGGTAATATAGACCCTAATATAAATCATAGCTACAGATGAACAATTAGTGGTAGTCTAGTCCCTAAAACACATCATAGCTACAGATAAACAACTAGTGGTAATGTAGACTCTAATATAAATCATAGCTATAGATAAACAACTAGTGGTAGTCTAGTCCCTAAAACAAATCATAGCTACAGATGAACAATTAGTGGTAGTCTAGTCCCTAACACACATCATAGCTACATATAAACAACTGGTGGTAGTCTAGTCCCTAAAACAAATCATAGCTACAGATGAACAATTAGTGGTAGTCTAGTCCCTAAAACACATCATAGCTACAGATAAACAACTAGTGGTAATGTAGACCCCAATATAAATCATAGCAACAGTAAACAACTAGTGGTAAACAACTAAAGTGTTAGTATATTTCCATTCCTTCAGTTGATTCATTGCACTTATGAAAGTTTTCTTTATGTTACTACTAGTTATGAGTGTATGTTTTTATGAGAATAGACATCGGCTGAGGTAAAAGTCTATTTACAGTTTTGTCCAATGATGAAGCTACTTTACTTCTACTTTTTCTTCCTAAGACAGCAATTTAGTTTAACTGGTAAATGTTGATACTCCAATTTCATACTTTTACATGCTAATCTTTCACAGAATTTGACTGGTTTGAAAGTGCACTGATATGTTAATCACTAGCAAGTTACTACCAAACAAATACAGTGTTAAGAAATTTAAAATGTTCACAGTAATTGATGAAAAGAAGGGAATGTGAGCTATAATAATCTTAAAACAGTCGAGAAAAAATGTTTGAAAACTATCTTAACATCAGACACATGAAGTATTTCATGTAATAGATTATGTGTTTTAGAAGTCTTGTGTTTCCTTGCATAAATATGGATCTTTTTGTTTGGCTATCCTTACTGTCTCTGTGGTTTACCAATTAAAATAACATGGAAACATTTCCTACCAAATAGACAGATACGTTCAATTGTTAGAACCTCATCACTTCAAATGTTAAAACTGAAATTTTATCACGTACGACTTTTTACATTTGTATTTTGCGATATTTGCATTACTAGTGTTAATCAGTAATTTATGTTTACAAGTTCTACAGCTAAATCATTATGTTTACAAGTTCTACAACTAAATCATTTCCAACAGTTTTCAAAAAGAGTAAAAGTAACATATATATTTTTAGCCTTCTATAAATTACTTTCATATACCAAAACGCCCTCCAGTGGCACAGCGGACTTACAACATTAGAAACCGGGTTTCGATACCCGTGGTGGGCAGAGCACAGATAGCCCTTTGTGTAGCTTTGTGCTTAACTACAAACTACAAACAAACATATACCAAAAATATTCTCAGCCATAGCTTGTAAACACATATCTACAGAATCCCATTTCTTTGCAACCTTCTGTAACTTACCTTCATATACCAAAACTCTTTTCTCAAATACACCTTATAAACACATATCTACAAAACTACAGTTCTTTGTAACCTTCTATAACTTACCTTCATATACCAAAGCTCTCCTCTCAATCACACCTTGTAAACACATATCTACAAAACTACAGTTCTTTGTAACCTTCTATAACTTACTCTCATATACTAAATCTCTACCTCTCAAACACACCTTGTAAACACATGTCTACAAAACCACAGTTCTTTGTAACCTTCTATAACTTACTCTCATATACTAAATCTCTCCTCTCAAACACACCTTGTAAACACATATCTACAAAACTACAGTTCTTTGTAACCTTCTATAACTTACTCTCATATACTAAATCTCTCCTCTCAAACACAC